ACAACCAGAGGTATGAAAAATTGTGCTCTATATGTATAATATGAATTATAATGCATTCTGCTGTCATATGTTAAAAAATAATAAATAAAAAGAATTCAAAGCCAGCCTTAGCAATTTAGCAAGGCCCTAAGACCCTCCCTGTCTCAAAATAAATTATAAAAAAGGGCTGGGGATGTGGCTTAGTGGTTAAGCACCCTGGGTTCAATCCCTGGTTATAACAACAACAACAACAACAACAACAATAACAACAACAGCAACAACAGCAACAACAGCAAGGTGTGGTGATGCGTGCCTATAATCTCAGCAACTTGGGAGGCTGAGGTAGGAAGATGGCAAGTTTGAAGACAGCTTGGGCAACTTTGCAAGACCCTGTCTCAAAATAAAAGATAAAAAGGGCTGGGGATATAGCTTAGGGCTAAATTGTCCCTGGGTATGATGCCCAGTACCACATTGAAAAAAAAAAAAAAAGATAATAAATTAAAAATAAAAGCTGACAAATTCTACAAAGATATTTCAAATCTTGCTACTCCTCTAACTATCCAGGAACTTAGAGTGCTAAGAATTCTTTCACATCACATGTACCCACTGGCCCTGCACCCCCACAAGCACAGATGACAGGAATATTCTGGAAGCCATTTCTACACCAGAGGTCTAGGCTAAAATAACAATGTGAGAATAACTACATATAACAGAAATATAACCCAGGAAACTGCAAATCTGATGTTTTCCCACCTTATCTTCTCCATAACCAGAACTCCAAAATATACACAACCACTYCAACACAATGGAGAGGATGCAATGGAGGGGCAGCTGGAGTAGAAAAAAGATTGGTCTTTACCACTTGCACTTAAAATATATAATGTTTGCAAAAATTTACAGAAGCCTATGACCTGGTGGACAGCTTGCTGGAGTGCTCCCAGAGTCTGTGTAAGTGAGCGATCCTGGATTTCATTAGTTTCATGGTGAATGGCCTGTGCACTTGAAATTCTTGGTTGTATATTGCAAAGCAACTGTCACCCTGCTTAGAAAACCTAATCTCCTAAAGGGCTTGGAAGCTTATTTTTCTGCTTTTCAAAATGAGCATTTCATACCTTTTTTTTTTTTTCTTCAAACAATCTGTAGCACTTTGGATGCTGATGGGAATAATGCAGACCCCAGGGTTGTGAGTAGACCCAGTGGGGGTGGAGAAATCAGCCTGGGTAGCAGGGAAGACCCCCTCCCATAGTGAGGTGGGGGAGACAGAGTGTGGCAAATAGAAGAACAATGGATCCAGTTAGGTTGCCTTTTTTTTTTTTTTTTTTTTTCCCCATTAGGGGTTTTCATGTTGCCCAAGCTGCCCAGGAACTAGAGTACCTGGAACTATAGGCCTGCACAACTACAATCAGCTCAATTTTTTTTTTTTTTAGTTGGACACAATATCTTTATTTTATTTACTTATTTTTATGTGATGCTGAGGATTGAACCCAGTGCCTCTCAAGAGCTAGGCAAGCACTCTACTATTAAGCCCCAACCCCAGCCCTCAAAAGTGATCTTTTAAACATAAGTCGGAGAATATGCCTGTCCTGATGAAGATTCTCCACTGGCTCCCCATTGCACTTAGACTAAAACCCAAACTCTCTGGGACCCTCCCATATTATTTCTGCCACTCCCAAATTCTCTTTCCTAGGTTCTTTGACCCTCTTTCTCTAGCTGCCTCGATCACAACACTTTCCTATCACAGGGACTTCGTATTTGCTGTTCCTTTTGCCTGGATTCATGGCCGGGTCAAATTATCACCTCTTCATAGAGGCTGTCTCTGACCACCTGTACAAAACTTAGCACCGCACTCTCATTACCAAAAATCGTCCTCCACTCTCCACAACTTTATAACCATCCGAATTATATTTTCTTCCTTCTTGATCATTTTCTCTCTCCTTGTCCCCCACTATAATGCAAGCCTCAGGGGAGCCCAGATCCAGTGGGCTCCCAATGCCCAACATAAGAGGCACTGTATAAATATAGGCTGAGTGAATAAATTATGCAGCTGCGCTTATAGACATACAAATGCTCAGATTGTTTTACAGTTCCCTCCTGGGGCCACTGTCACAGCTCAGAGCTGAGAAGACAGTATTGCCAGTTACTGACACCATCTAGACGGAGACTCAGACCTCTGCTTAGATGAAATATGCTGAAAGAGACAGGAGACAGAAAGCAGAGAAAAGAAACGGACCGAGAGAGAGAGAGAGAGAGACTGAGATAGACAAAGACCTGACCCAGACTCAAAGAACAGGAAACCTGGGCCCACAGAAGCCCCAGCAGCCATGGGAGACACTGTCAGGAGGAGGGACGCGGAGGGAGGCGGCGGAAGGCGCTGGAAGGCGGGACGCGCTGGAATCGAGCGGAAAGCTAGCGCGGCTAGTCTCGGAGACCCGGGCCGCCCCTGGCCCGGCTCCCAAGTGGCCGCGGCAGGTGGCCGTGCGCCCGCCAGCCCGCCCGCTGGCGCGACGCGTGCGGGATCAAAGCAGCCGGGAAGGGGCGGGGCGGGGAGGTGTCAGGAACCTGGAGGTGCGAGCGAGCGAGCGAGCTTCCCGGGCCACCGCGGGAGCGTGGGAGCGCAGAGTCCCGGGAGGCTACAGAGATCTGGAGAGACGACGAGACATCCCGAAGAGACCCAGAGACAGGACGAGAGAATCCCAGAAACCCGAGAGAGACAGACACAGATGCAGAGACCGGAGAGACCACGGAAGAACCCAAGAAATCGCTAAGAAACCTGAAAGAAAGTGAGAGATCCAGAAATAGAGTCACCAAGAGGCACCCAGAGATCCGAAAGACAGCAAGAAAATTAAAAAAAAAAAAAAAAGGCTCGACTTCCCAGGGACACGGGAAAAGGAAGCATGCTGTAAAGAACAGGAAATAAAGCGAAAGGAAGAGAAGTGGGAAGAGGGAGGAGGGCGGGGAGACCTCGCTCCTCCCCCGCCGAGGGCCGCTTGGACCCCCGGGGTGGGGATCCGAGGGCCGGGTGCTTTCTCAGGGTCACGCCTGTGGAAGTGCAGGCCAGGGGAGGAGAAAGGGGTGTGGAGGCAGCAGGATCCCCAGTTGAGAGAAGGGAAGTATGAGGACGTGCGGAATTTGGGTCTAGAGAGTCAGAGGCTGCATTTAAATGTTCGGTAGATATGTTTAAAGAAAGATGTTTTTTAGAAATATCATCAAATACATTCTTCCCCTTCGGAAACAGAGGAAAAGGAAAAAAGGAAATACTATGTATTGTGCTTTTTAGAAATATCATCAAATATCAGCCTTCAGAGACAGAAGAAAAAGTACTGTGCATTGGCCGGGAATCGAACCCGGGCCTCCCGCGTGGCAGGCGAGAATTCTACCACTGAACCACCAATGCAGACAGGAAGGCAGCTTGTGATCATCTTATTTGAGCTTGGAAAGATTGATGCAACTGTAAGCCCTGGGCTCATGGAAGGAGAGGCCCCTAATGGTTAACGTGGGTGGAACGCCAGGTCATTCTTCCTCCCGCCTGGATCCGGCCACCCGGCCATAAAACCAGTCCATATGGCCAGGGGCGGCCCCACACCCGGGTGCGAACAGCCCAGGGCCCCGAGCCTCGCGTGCAGGTGAGAAAAACTCAACCCGAGCCCAGGTTCCCAAGGAGGGGGGCTGCGGTGGCGGATGGGGCCATACATCTGCTTTCCCATTTGGCCCAGGTAGGGGGTTGTGGGGTGTACTGGGAGGTGGGGAGCCCTGATTCCAAATGGAAGCCCCCTTCTCAAGGTCTTGGCCCGTTCAGACTAGGACTTTGGTAAGACAGGCTCCGCGAAAATACCAAGATGTGGAGGGGCGCTGGAAGGGTTTGGAGGCAGCTCCACTTGTCTCTGATTCCACAGCTATCTTCCATCTCTATCAGTAACCCTGTCTTTCTGTGTCCTTGTCACTGTCACTCTTGTGATGGCTCATCAAATTTTTGATTTTTCTTCTCAGGTATTTCGTCCTGAAGTCTCCAAGTGTTCACCGACGGATCTTTCTGCAGAGGGTCATGTTCTTGGTTTGAGGTAGGTGTTGATTCCCTTTTTGTAACCTTTTCTTTCTTTTTTAGGAAAACTTTCTGCTCCCCTATAGTCAGGAGGGTCCTCCAGAAGCAGGCAACTCAGGCACACTTGTGTAAGGTGTCCGGGCAGTGAATTTAGTTTTAAACCAAATACTTGTAAGTGGAAAGATCTTAACTCCTCTCCATACTTTAAAGACTAAATCTTTAAAGAATAGATTTAACACTTTAAAAACTAGATTCTTCTTCTTTGAAGTTCCCCCTGTCCATCCTCAGTCAAGGTACTTTTCTCAGAGTACCTACTTCACTTTGTTTCTATAACGACTGCTTTTCCACTAGATCTGCGGGATAAACTAGGCCTCTTGTTCATATGAACTGTCCAAACCTAGATTAGTGGCCCTTGTGCACAATGAGGGCGCAAGATATTGGATAAGTGAATGTAATTGATTTAGATCAGAGAGCTTTTTCCACTCCCAGGCAGAGGCCCAGCAGAGTTGGGTTGCTCTCTGTATGAAGCAGGAAAGGGGGGGGGGAAGGTGTATAATATTCAGTTTGGAGGCTGAGAAGTGCTTTTATTTCAGTGCTAGTGGGGGTACAATGAGCCTACAAAAAGGCTGCAATTCTAGGAGAACTCCGAATTTCATCCTTAAGTGAGGTCTGTCCTAAATTACTTAAAACTCCCTCTATCCCTAATAGCCTCCTCCTTTCAGCTGGGTCCCGCCTCTTTATATAGCCTTATGGCCCTTATATCAGCCTGTGCCTCATTCCCCCATCACTTCCCACACTCCCAGGCCAGTTCCCCTCCCCCTTTCACTCCTAGTCTTTCCGGGAGCCTCGTGCCGGGGTCTTTCCCGGGTGGGATCTAGGTGCTGAAGGGGGCGGGGCCGTATTCTATCCCTCCTACCCGGGCGCTGCGGGATATAAGGATCCAGACAAGCAAAGACCCGGTCCGCGCCAGGGTCCGGAGGAGCAATGGTCACCCGGGATCGAGCAGAGAATAGGGACGGGCCCAAGGTGAGAGGCGGGAGGGGTGGGAGCAGAGGTCCTTGGTCTGTCCGGGGGGAACCTGGGCACTGAAACAGTGGGTCGGTGGTGAGGCCGGGACACAGGGCTGAAATAGGAGAGGTGTCCAGGGGACCCAGGGAACCAGGAACTGGAAAGGAAGCTGCAAAGTGTGAAGGAGGTAGTGTCTGAGTAGGACCCGCGTGGGCGGCGGAAGGAGAGTTTTTGGGGTCTGGGTAACCTGGTCATTCAGCACCTTACGGCCTAAGGGAGTGGGAGGGGGCCAGATTTTCAATAAAACCAAGAGGATATAGTCAAGGGCTAAGGGTAGGAACAAAAAGAGAAGAGGATGGGCATTCTCCACTTAGGCCGCAAGCCAGGACTGACCCAAGGTGGTCTTGGAGAGAAAGCCCTGGGTTTTTGTTCCAGAGATTCGAGATCCGTTTGAAGATTTTAGGGTGAGCAAGTGGAGAAGGGTGACGGCCTAGACGGGTTTGAGGGAGAGGAGGAGGCGCGGTCGCGCTAGGTGTCTCCCTTTCTACACTCAGGGCCGCCAGCTCTGAGCCCCGCACCGTGCGGCCCACTTGCCTGGGCGCAAAGAGGGTCTCCAAAGTTCTCCACTGAGACAGAGACCGCACGAGATCGAGACGTAGCGAGAAAAGAGGAGAGACACAGAGAGGGGAGGAGGGAGGACGAGACTGAGAGAGGAGAATGCAGAAGATCCGGGAGAGAGAGGAGGCGAGCTACAGAAGCGGATCCTAGGGGCGTCGGGGTGGGGGCGGGGGGAGCGGAGGTGGAACGAATGGGCTCCGCCCTAGTCAATCTGGGATCCTGGGCAAGGGGTGGGAGGGGGCTCTCCCAGCGGCGGGATCCCGACGCCGGTGCGGCTGCGCTGAGTCTTGGTCCGGTGGGCCCGCTCTCCCTTTCCCGCTGGTCGCAGATGCTCAAGCCGCTTGTGGAGAAGCGGCGCCGGGACCGCATCAACCGCAGCCTGGAAGAGCTGAGGCTGCTACTGCTGGAGCGGACCCGGGACCAGGTCAGTCCCTCCACCAGTCCCGGACCCCCAAGCAACCCGTTCCCGCGTCCCAGGGATTTCCACTGGGATGGGGGGGGGGCATAGGCTGGAGTGGTGACCCTGGCCCCAAGACATCCTGACCCGAGCCCGGTCTTTGGAATCCTATCCCAGACCCCCCCCCCTCTCATTCTCAGAGGGCAATCTTCTTCGCCACCCCTCGGGTCTGTAAGTTTCCTTTCAAGTTCTGTGAATTTCGCTCCCAGGGTGGGTCAGTTTCACCTTCGGGTTTCTAAATGTCCCCTTTCCATACATTCCCCAAATCAGCCAGCGTCAGTTCTACCGGTGGTTTTCACTCGCTGGGTTGCTCTTTCAAATCTCCTCACATATTGGGTATTGATTGGTTCCATCCCCTGGGGCTGGACAGTTTCGTCTCAGGGTGGGACAGGATCATTCTTGGACATCTCACTCCACATTCGGTCACGCGTTCTATGGGCAGCGCGCAATTGCGTTCCGGGGGCACCCCCAGCTCCCGTATCCGCCCCTCCCTTCTTCCCCCTGCCACTTTCCCCCTCTCTTCCCACCCCTTTCTGTCTCTGCGCCCTCCCCTCCCGTCTGTAGAACCTCCGGAACCCGAAGYTGGAGAAAGCGGAAATACTGGAGTTCGCCGTGGGCTACTTGAGGGAGCGAAGCCGGGTGGAGTCCCCGGGTACAGCGCCGGGGTCGGGTAGCTGAGGGAGGGAGGGAGGACCTTTGGAGGCTCGGGACGGGGAAGCTGGGGCGGGCCCTGCGGTGGACGGTGGGCTTGGGGAGTGGCAGACTCTACTCCTAGGCGAGGTTAATAACACCCGCGCGTGTCTGTCTCTGTGTCTCTGTCATTTTCTCCCTCTGTACATCCATCTGGCTTCCTGTCTCTATGCGCCCGTCTGATCTCGGTATCTCTGCGCCCGCCCCTTCCCTCACCCCTGCTGGGCCCCTGCCCTGCCCGCCTGTCCTCCCGCCGGCCGCACCCGCCGCCGCGGCTCCAGGGATTCCCCGATCCCCAGCCCAGGACGCCGAGGCGCTCGCCAGCTGCTACTTGTCCGGTTTCCGCGAGTGCCTGCTCCGCTTGGCGGCCTTCGCGCACGATGCCAGCCCGGCCGCCCGAGCCCAGCTCTTCTCCGCGCTGCACGGCTACCTGCGTCCCAAACCGCCCCGGCCCGAGACGGTAGATCCCAGGCCTCCAGCGCCGCGCCCACCGCAGGACCCCGCCGCACCAGCCCTTGGCCCCGCGCTACACCAGCGCCCCCCAGTGCACCAGGGCCCCCCTAGCCCGCGCTGCGCCTGGTCCCCATCCCTCTGCTCCCCCCGCGCCTGGGATTCCGGCGCGCCGGCGCCCCTCACCGGACTTCTGCCGCCGCCACCACCGCCTTACAAACAAGACGGGGCGCCCAAAGCCCCGCCACTCCCGCCGCCCGCATTCTGGAGACCTTGGCCCTGAGCTTTTGGGGGTGGGGTGGGGGCGGGGGCTGGGGGAGGGGTAGAGACTCCAGCCGGAGGGCAGCAGAGGGACCCGGGCATCCGGGAGAGGTGTTGGGGAGGGCGGCGGGGCGCGCGGGCTCAGCGCGCGGGTGAAATGTGGTCTATATTAGAGTATCTATATAAATATATATTTCCCTGGTTCCTGTCCCTTTCCCTGCCCCCAACCCCGCGTCTAGGATTGTACSTTTCTAACCCCAGCCCAGCCYCAGCCCCTTCCCGAGTCCCTAGTGCATGGAATAAAATGGTTATTAAATCCCGGTGTGTCCCGGAGCCGGGGGCCTGCCTTTATCTCGGCGTCCACGCCCACTTTCCCTTCCCTTCTGTTTCCCACCCCCAGTCCTACTCTCCAAGGCCCAAGCTCCGGGGTAGACAGGTAAGTAAAGAAGAGAGCAGAGCGGATACTGAGGTTGGAGCTGAGACCMAGACGAAAATGCAGATAGGGCAGGGGGAAAAGGTCGGACAGAGAAAAGAACAAACCTGAAATAAAACCGACTCTGGTGGGATTCGAACCCACAACCTTTGAATCGCTCTTTCGTCACTAGAAGTCCAATGCGCTATCCATTGCGCCACAGAGCCACTTGGCGGGCGGTGGCGTCTCGTAGCTTACGGGTAGTAGCATGGGGGAAGGGGCAGAATGACAGTGTTGTTGATAGGAAATTGGGCGGGGCGTGTTAGGAGCCTATGGTTAGGATCTCCGAGGCCAGCCAGGGAAAAGTATGTTGCTCAAGMACGTGCGCCAGTGGGAGTGAGGGCGCACAAGTGTTCCAGAAACAGGGAGGGAAAGCAAACAAACAGGAGCGAGCAAACAAGTGCAGAGCTTCGGCTGCCGGCTTGGAAAGTGCTTCCAGCTCAGGTGCASTCCAGTCCCACGTAGCCCCACTAAATAAACGTGTTTTGCTATAAATTTCTGAGTCCCTGTCTTTTGGTTTGTTTTGCCATTGTCACGATGCAGTTCAGAGGCTCGACGGTTCCCGGTTCTTGAATTTTAAATGTGAAAAGGGAAACTAGTCAATTTAACGTTATCGTCTCTAGCCCCATTTTCCTTCTGCTCTCTTAGGAGGACAACGAAGACGAYGGGTTTCCATGCAGGTAGCGTGGCCGAGCGGTCTAAGGCGCTGGATTTAGGCTCCAGTCTCTTCGGAGGCGTGGGTTCGAATCCCACCGCTGCCAGGCCAGAGTTTTTCCCTTGAGCTTTATTCTCGTGAATGAGTGCCAAGAGCACACCAGGGGTGTGTATAATTTTACAAGGATACCATCGAGGTGTTAACTGCTGACTGTTCTCTTTGGTTTCAAGGCAGATAGTGGATATACATCCATACCCCAAGCCAAGATCTGACAGAAACTGTTAGTGTAAACCTGTATTTTATAGTTGGTCTTCATTTTGACATCGTCCCCAAGTATAACTATCTCAAAATTAACACGACTTCCAAAATAYCTCAATATCCAGTAAGTTATCCTTGGATGTCTGTTAAAGGTCTTAAGTAGCTTCTCTCGGGTCGCACTGGAATGTCACTCACAAAATCAACAAATAATACATCGGATGTAGTGGTATCAAACCTAAGAAAAGTTAAGGTTCCACCGAGATTTGAACTCGGATCGCTGGATTCAGAGTCCAGAGTGCTAACCATTACACCATGGAACCCCTCTTTTGGGGCCCTCTTCGAAGATTATATACATTACTTAACACCCTATTTTGTCATTTACGGAAACCCKAACAACCGCTCCTGGTTACTGAGCATCTGAAATATTAATAAATATATACTGTCAATGTCTAACGCTTAAGGCTGTACGAAAAAAGAAAAAACATTATTAGAAATGCATATTAAAATAAGAATCGGGAGATGGGGTTAAGTAAAATATATTATTAAGATACTTCACCCTATTTTTACTCTTTTTGATGTGGTTAGTAAAAAATTTAAATATATGTTTGCGTAGCTTTTGCTACCTTCCCTCGGTCATTCGTTCGACTTCCTTGAAAATAAATCCCTGACCCACCTAACACCATTTCCTCTTAAAAGAAGGTACCGTATTTTTCTTTTTATCATGCTTTTGTTCAAAGGAGAACTGTTAATATATTAGCTGTATTCGAAAACAAACCTCACAGATAGGGGGAGGGGGAAAAAAAAGCAGCCGCCCGAACAGGGACTTGAACCCTGGACCCTCAGATTAAAAGTCTGATGCTCTACCGACTGAGCTATCCGGGCTCTTGTGCGAARTGGTTTCTCTTATCTACAAGAGGTTTCTCATACGAAAGCGCAGGCTTGTAGAACGGTTTAAGAACTGTGTGCTTTTAGGCAAAGGACCCTGACACCCACTTGGAGAAAATGGTTGTGGCGCACCAGCTGCTAATTGAACTTTTTTCACTTTCCTTCTTCAGAACGCTGTGAAGGCTGAAACTCGGGCTGGAGCTTCGCGGAGTCAGAAASCTTAGATGCCCGGACTGGCCGCGCGGGGCCGCTGCGGGCTACAGCCTTTCCTTCCCAAAAGGTTCCTCTCTGGCCCCWGTGACCTGCATCCTGGAAATCTCSGGCTCTCGGGCTCCCAGGCTCCCRCCCACCCGCGGCAATCTGAGGGCGAACCAGGAGTGAAAAGAATGCCACTTGAGGTCTTTAGATGCTGTGCACTAGGACTCTATTTTATTCTCTCCATCRGCCCTTTTCCAAGGGAGAAACTGAGATCGGGTGTGCCAAAGGCTGGAGATAGGGCTGAGTGTGCGGAGTGGTAGGAGAGCTTTTACTGACCTCCCCGTGGTGTACTGTGCTGGGATGAGTCTGCGACTCACCTGCAAGTGGCTATAGTCACGTGTGACTTATGACCGTAAGCGGCTCACCTGTGAATAGTGAGTGATTCACATAGATGATTCACGTGTAGGAATTCGGCTCCTCTGTGCTCAGTTTTGTCTGGGAGATAGGAGAAAAGGGTCTTGGAGAAAATTGAGGAGCGATATATAAAGGCCTCAGGGATCAGTCGAGTCTCCTGAGTCCCAGGAGAAGAGCAATGTTCCAATGATACAGGCATCATCTCCTCCCTAACTTTGTTCCTCCCTCCCCAGTGGACCCAGGCTTCTGATATTCATCTGGGTGAGCCTGCCAGAGGGACCGGCTGTGCAAGCAAACAAATATTAGGGTGCAAGTCTGTGGGCGGGGAGAGGAAGTCCACTCCATCAGCCAGAATCTTCGGTGAGAGAGGAAAGCAGGTGCATCCCAGAGAGAGCTGGGACCTTCCTCGGGCCTRTCCTTCCCTAGCCCCTAGCCCTCAGCATCCCACCCTGCCGCGACTGTTGGTCACSTCCTCCAAGCCATTTGCTGCTGTGGCCAGCATTGCCTGGGGCATTCTTCCTTTCCTCCCACCATGGCAGTGTACCGCCTGTGTGTGACCACTGGTCCCTATCTGAAGGCGGGCACACTGGATAACATCTCTGCCACACTGGTGGGCACGTGTGGTGAGAGTCCGAAGCAGCGGCTGGATCGAGTGGGCAGGGACTTCGCCTCTGGRTCGGTAAGTACAAAGGAGAAAGAGAAAAACCTCTGAGGGGAAGGGCCCGCAGGCACCCTGAAGAAGGGGAGGGGATGGTTATCCCTGCTGGACTCTCCTGTTTTTGCTGAACTCGGGATGCTCGCCCTGMCCTCTTTTCTGGGATGATAAACCTTACCCAGGCACTACGGTACAGAGGAAGGAGTACAGGCAGAGGCTTCCTGGCTCCTCCCCTAATGGACAGTGGGCTTTGKGCAAGTCTCTTTCCCTCTCTGAGCCAGTTTTCCCTTCTCTAGAGCAGATCGCCTGCCTTCATCAGTCTCAAGGTTATTTGCTAGTGGCCTACGTTAGTGTGTCCCACCAACCAAGGTGGCTAGGGAAATCCAGTGCCAACTCTGCTCACACATCCCCTGCTTCTACCTGGATGAGGGGCTGCATTTTTCTCATTCACAAAGGAACTGCGTGGGTCAGCAGCAGCTCAGGTTTATAAATTGGCATAAGCCGAGATGTGGATGCACCTTGCAGAGTGCAAGGTTGGCCTTACCAGTTACCTGMCTTTCACCAGCTTGCTCCCTTGGTCACTCCAGGTACAGAAGTACAAGGTGCGCTGCCCAGCAGAGTTGGGCGAGATCTTGCTGCTGCGCCTTCACAAGGAGCGCTACGCTTTGTTCCGCAAGGACTCCTGGTACTGCAGCCGCATCTGTGTCACTGCCCCAGATGGTACCATTGTCCACTTCCCCTGTTATCAGTGGATTGAGGGCTACTGCACCATGGAGCTGCGGCCAGGAACAGGTGAGCCAGAGGGTAGGGCTGCTCTGTACTCCAGAAAGCATCTTTTGKGATTAAGGGTGGTGGCTCCCTGTGTGAAGGATGTATGACATAGGGATGGGATTAGGAACTGTGCTTCCACGAAGATGTTTTCTGAAAAATGTGCTATTAATACTCTGAAATGCAAAGTCTTTCTGGGCAATATTTACTCCTCTGCAGGCACACACAGACATACACTCTTACACACACACACACACACACACACACACACCTACCTAAGCAATTTGTGTTTCACAGCCTCCATCTGCACTCTTAGATAATTCATCTGAAACCCAGAAGGAACTAGCAAGCTAATTAGATTTCAATAGGTGGAGAAGCCCTGAATGTATAGACTGTAGCTGGAGAGTCCCAGTCCCCCATTTTTAGCTTTTCTAGAGTGAATGAATGAAATCCCTGAGAGGTGAGTTTGAATCCCTTRTTGAATTTGTGGGGTCTTTTCAAGGATATTGGGCTTGAGTCCCTCCTGACTCCAGAGCTGGCATCTCCACAGAGGAAACAGCAGGCTGCTGTTTGTTGAGATGAGTGTCAGGGATGAGTGATGATATTCCAGGTCAAGGGTAGTTGAATGAACATGGCCTCATATACTTCACTATGAAATGCCATCCTTCCGTACAGTGCATCCATTAATCCACAAAYATATTTGTTTATTAGTTGTTTCCCAAGTGCCTGTTATATGCATGGTGACTGGGGCCATGCCAGATGCTGTGAATACAAAAAAATTAATAGAGTGTGACCTGCCTTCAAAGAGACAACAGTCTAGAGATGATTTTTTTTAAAGGAAAAAGTTAGAAAAGTGTTATAATTTGGGGATGTAGTTGACTCAAATCCCTGATGAGTGCATGAAGAACATGGGAGCATTCCCCACATAATGCACATGAAGATGGCTGTGAGATTGGTCTCAAGTGTTAGGAGGTGCAGGCTATGTTTGTAGGAGGAGGTGTTATTTGAAAAGAGACTTATAAGAAGAATAATTTTCATTCCCTGCAGCAAAAACTATTTGTCAAGACTCCCTTCCCCTTCTTCTGGATCACAGGAAACAGGAGCTCCAAGCCCGACAAGAATGCTACCGGTGAGGGTGGGCTAATTTGACTTTTTTGCCCATCTGTATTCTGACTTCAGCTTTAATCAGATCRTTCCTAACTCTGACATGGGTTTTAACCTCAGGGGCCCAATTCTTATCAGGACCTCATTTAAATCTAACCCCAAGCCAGGCATGGTGGTACTAAGGCTTATAATCCCAGCAATTACAGAAGAGGAGACAGGAGGATTGCAAATTTGAGGCCAGCCTGAGCAATTTAGGGAAACAATGTCTCAAAATAAAAAAAAAAAAATAAAAAGGACTTGGAATGTAGCCTAGTGGTAGAGCATGTGTTGAGCATGCTTGAGGCCCTGGGTTCAATCCCTAGCATTGGAAAAAAAAAAAAAAAAAAAAACCTATCGGGATCTGAAGCCCAGTGCCTTCATTGAGAAATTTCCAATTCTCTGTTGCTTGCCCCCAAAGTGATTGGTTTCTGGAGTTTTAATCTGAAGTCATATTTTTAAAAACTAAAGCTTCTGTTTATCCCAAGTTTGATCTGCCACTTCTGGTCTTTCTCTGGGCAGCT